GAACATGCTGGCCCAGCCTGCACTCTCAGGGAGGCTCTGCCTTTACCACTTTCTGATGGTGAAACTTGCACACAGTTCTCTAAGCGCTAACGCCTGAGCTCTTTTCTCTCTTCTGTAAATTAAACAGTGCATTTTTTAAAAAATGCATTCTGAATATTAAGCAGTTATGCTCATATACATGCTGACAATTACTGTTCCTGCCACCAGACTTCTCTGGTAAGATTTCCTATTTCTGCTTGTAGTACTTTCCTCTGAAATTTCTTATTAATTAAAATGTGCATCTGATGCAATTTGTACAAACACATCTGAACCTTTGTACCAACGCGAAAGCCCACACGCTCCGACTCCTAGCCCGCTCAGTGCCTGATGAACACGCTGACAGCTTTCTTTATAAAGCAGATAACTGGGAAGTATTTTCTTTTGGGACCTTCAAAAAACATGCTGGACATTCCCCTGTAGCCCTGTTTAAGCCACCTACATTTTTTTGCCACATGCAAGAACCGCCTTTCGGCTCTCTGAGGCCGCTGACGCCTGCAGGTGCTGCCACTTGCGTTCCTGCTAAGTCCTTCACTGGGCTCTCTGGGCGTTTTTTAGAATTGTTACCATGACTATTTGTCCTGGGCCTCATGAACCCACAGCTATGGTGCAGGAAAAATTTTTCATCTGAGGATTCACAAGAGACAACTTTCCATTTAAAAAAACATCGTGAGTACCTGCGTGATTCAGAGAGAAGGTACTTTCTGTTCTTTTTAAAAGAAGTGAACTGTCCTTGAGTGTGCCTATGAAATGGCCCTCTTCACAAAACCAACAGTCCACACTGGCACACTTGTGTAGACAGATAAAGAAGACCGTATCTGCTCATGTTCAAAAGCTACTTCTGCAAGAACCTACTTTTAATTGCCGATTACAAAATACTGTTTTCCAAAGTCTGTTTGAATTGCGGTTCCCAAGTAGTAAAATTGTTCAACACATTTTTTATCAATCAGTAAACCTCCAAAATATATTAAAAATCAATGGACTCAGACTATACCTTATTACTAAGCTGATAATCCTCAATTTTATCTCACGATTATCACTGATCTATCAAGTCTGATAAAGTATGATTTTCTTAATGATAATAAATTAATTCCAGTTTAAATTTACTATTATGTATTTTGACATTATATGGGTGCCAATACTGTTTCTGTGCCGGTTTTCCTATACTATGTACTTTTGTTTCCTGGCCTTACTAAAATAAATATAATGCCTCAAATAATCCCGGGTCTTCAAATGTACAACAGCACAGGACTGACTGCCCAAAAACAGCCTTATTCTGTTGCACGCTTGACTCGGGCTCCGTTCCATAATTTAAAACTAACAAAGAATTAGAAAGGCTACTGAGAGTGAAGCTGCTGGTGACTCTGATCAAATTTATAATATGACCAAGAGAGGGAGAAGAACACATGCATTTCCAAAGCAACTCCACATCAATTACCCTATACAATCACCAAGAACACCGCACTTATCACATCTGTAAATCTTCCATCTGCCAGTGCTACACGCGTTTCACGAACGCTGCATCTCGGCTTGCTCCGTGCGCACAGTCCTACACCTTCATCTTCCTTCTTCTCCCCTGCCTGATTCTCTGTAGCCCTCCTCATGCCCTGCCAGCTCTCCGGCCTCTCGGGACTCAGCACTTCTCTTGTCCTAGAATCATGTTCAAATTAAACCCCTTGGTGCGTCTCCTTTCCTCTTTCTTTTGAATCCAATCGCATAAACTCTTTCTTGTGGGGGGGAAAGAGACAGAGCTGACCCAGGCTCTTTTTCCCCCCTAATCCCCGAGTACTGTAAACTCTCTCCACCCTTTCTGAATTAAGTGCCCTCTTGTCTAGACTAGTCTGACCCAGCGCCACCCTGCAAACTGAGCACATTCAAGTCAGGGAGCCCAGGAAGTACCCGGGCAGAGTCACACAGGAAGCGCTGAGTAAGGGCTCAGGTGCCCAAGGTCATGCATGCATCCTCCCGCCTTCCCACCTAAAAGACGGGCTAGCCGTGCTCAGCTGGTACAGTGGCTCCTAGGATTCACCCAAAACATGGAACATAAAGACAGGTGCTCCACATTGTGGTAGCTATGTTTTCAAGATTTAAAGTGAACTAAGTATTAGGAAACTTCAATTGGGATTTGATACAATTACTCTTAAGTCCATGTAGATAACATACAAGTGAGAGGAGCCTTCTATAGGAAGGGAAAGAAATAGCGCCTGATGCCTTTTATGATGTCTTTCGTGACTGCTGAAAGACACGCCCTGCTGGCCAGAGGGTGTGAGCCTGGCTTCCCGCTTTGCTGGAAACCCCACTTCATCAAAAGCCACTGGGTGTGCAGGGTCAAGCGTGAAAAGTCCTCCAAGAACCCAATATAAAATTCCTCTTACAAAAGCATCTTCTAATATAAATCATCTCAAATACCTAAGAAAACTTGTAAGTCAGATCTGTTCGCTACAGGAAAATCTATAACAGCAAAATCATTCACTACGTCAACACCCCCAATGAGGGAAGAAGCTATAACACAAGGCGCTCATGCCCTGTCATATATGCGGCTATTTAAAATAATCCATTTTGACGAAATTGTGATACTGTATTAGACATGAAAAAAGCATAGCACTAAACCACACAGCCTGGTCCCCACTGTGTAAACACATGCACAGAAGCAAGGGGAAGTCAGCACAGCAAAGGAGAAGCATGGTTGTCTCTGAGTGGAATTGAATAGATTCCATTCATTGTTTTCTGTATCTCACATATTTGCTGCAGTTAGGAGGTGCTGTTTTATGATGGACTACTGACCGTATACCTAAAAGATTAAAAACTGTTCCAACAGTTAACTTTCTGGAGACTTTGAGGGGTATTCTACCACTTACTCATTGCTAGCATTCAGAGACTAAGATACCCCTCTATTCTGAAGATCTCAGAAGGCTACAGAACTAAGTAAGAAAACATAATTGCTTCTTGGGGCTAACCTCGTATACACATTACTTCCTATTTCAGACCTGAGTCTACCAGGGGGTGAAACCATTTCATGCTTAGTCGATGCAAATTCACAATACATTTGGCCAAGATGTTGTTTTGTTTTGTTTTGTTCTGTTTTTGAGACAAAGTCTTGCTCTGTCGCCCAGGCTGGAAATGAAGTGGCATAATCTCAGCTCACTACAACCTCCACCTCCCAGGTTCAAGTGATTCTCCTGCCTCAGCCTCCTGAGTGGCTAAGATTATAGGCACACAAGCATGTGCCACCACTCCTGGCTACTTTTTGTACTTTTAGTCGATGCAGGGTTTCACCATGTTAGCCAGACTGATCTCGAACTCTCGACCACAGGCAATCCCCCTGCCCCAGCCTCCCACAGTGTTAGGATTACAGACACGAGCCACTGCGCCTGGCCTGGCCAAGATATTTTAAAGAAAAGATAAGATGCCAACCCTGACATATTCCTCACCTCCAAAACGCTACCAAATATATGCGGTATATCAAACAATATATATCGTATATCAACTACCTAATGCATTAGCTGGCCAATTCGAAGATTCTGTGTGATTTCACCACGTGCAGACGTTTCATTCAGAAGAACATTGTGAACATGCTAGTTCACAGGGTTTGACAGCTGCAGAGAACTTGTAAAGGAAAACCTTCATTTAACAGACAAAAAAAAAAAAAATCCCAAGGCATGGGAAGAGAGGTGTCCACTCCAGATAAGCAGCAATGCTCTTTCCCAAGGGAATACTTAGAACGGCTCAAAGGCCTGAGGCCTGCGGCGCGCCTGTTCCTATCGGTGTGGTTAGAGTGCGCAGGCTGCCTGGCTTCTGTTGGTGAGGGACAGGCATCTTTCTTGGCTCAGCTCTGCTGGACAGAGGCCCAGCTGATGGCTCAGGCTAGCTCCCGGGTGGACTAGACTACAGTCCCAGTACCGTGTTCCACCAGCCACTGCATCTCAGCCAGCCCCCAACACCCACCCCTTCGTCTGCCCAGATCTAGAAGGGACAGAAGAGCAGATCATAAACAGAGGACACACAGAAAACGTCTTGGCCCTGGGGACGTCCTTCTCTTTCCCGGATGGAAAGGCTGTCTCCAGGCTGTTACAAAGCCACTGTGTATTCTCCATCTGGTGATGGTTAACATGAGTGCGGACAGGCTGTGAAACCTCTGGACCTCATTCTTGCAGCCCTAACGCTTGGCAACTTTCATCCTGACATTTAATTTCTTAATTATATGCCATCAATGTCAAGTTACAATCCTTTTGATTAACCAGAACAATTCCGGGGCAGGGATCAGAACAGGAAAAGCAGCCTCCTAGGAACACTCACCAGGATGTCGGTTATCACTAGTTTCATGAAAAAAAAAAAAAAAAAGTGAAGAGTTGGTAAACAAATACTAAAGGCTAAAATGAAAGAGGGGTCAATGGAAATGATAATGCCAGAACCTCAGGGGTGTCTTTCAGATCTTCAGGCACCTGTGGTTTACAGCGTCTGCACCTGTGCTCAGATGGTCACAGTGCCAGGGCCTTGGCTCAGGCCAGGACCACTGTGAATCCTTTTCAATGCCAAGTAGCAGGGGCCTGGCTTTCAAGGCAACTTCGATTGCATAATGGAACCGTGGAGGGCAACTGAAATGTTGGACACTGCTTGTCTAACAAGCAGTGACTGTCCTTCATGCACGTGAACTCCCGAATCTTGTTTTAACCCGAGTAGGAGGAAGCACGGTTGACTCGGATATCATCTTCAGTTTCCATTTCTGAAAACATAATGTGCCTTTTTTCTCTGACTCACTTCAGAGACCCCACGTGGGAGCAGCCTTGCTCAGGAGGAAAGCGTGGGTCAGGGCAAGGACTCCATTTATTTACAACAAGTGAAGGGCGTGGGGCTGCAAAGGTGGCCGGCGAGGGCTGGCTCAACGGATGTGCTGCTCCTGTAGCATGTCTGAAAAGCACCAGTGTCCCTAACATCGTAATATAAAAGCACAGATGGTAACTTACCCAAAGTGACTGGATAAGTTCACGGAAATACAAAAGAGAAGGAGGTTTTTGATCATGATAAAACTAGAGAACATTCCATTGTCCATTCCCAATAAGAAGAGTAGTTGAAGCAGGCGAATGTGGAGGAATAACTCTTCCCTTCTCCAGCTTGATCTCGAAGCTGAAAAGCACACAAAGCAGGGACGCACGTGAACATCGATGCTGTTGTGTCAGAGTCCCTGGAATCAAATCACACTGCTAGCACCACAATTTACAAAGAAAGGAGCCCGGCTGTCCGTCCCCAGCACAGCCGCACGCCAGCTATTTTCCACCAGCCTCACTGGGCAGTGAGTTGGAGCATAAAAGTAAGTATCCAGAGGCTTATTTTTCCTTCTACTCCGGGTGCAGAATCATCCTAATTTATGGTTTTCTATGTCTCAAGTACTGTTTTGTTTTTTAGTATGTTACCAAATAAACGATTAGTCCAATTTTTAAAATTAACGCATTACTTATCTGAACAACTGTATTTTGTATCTGTCAAATCCACAAGTGTAATAATTTTACCTTTCTGAAATATCTGCCACGCGTTCAAAGCCAGCAAGCTACTCCTCGCTCTGCAAGGCACTGAGAAAGTAGGAGGAAAGAAGCAGGAAAAAGCACATTTAAGAACCAGATTTTCTGCAGGATCACGATACTATAACGACCGCCTATGACAACAGAGTGTGGCTACTTTGCCGGCATTGGGTCCCCGCGACTACACAACTTAACCACTGCCTCTGTGCGAGTCTCTCGGCTCCGTGCTGCACCCTCATCAATGCATTTGAGATCCAGGCAGACATTGTCCCTGGGCTCAGCGACCAACCTTAGTGAAAACATACATTTCTCAATATGCGCATAACGCAAATAGGTGCTCTCAGCATCCGAACAGAATGCTTCCGAAAGAAGCATTTTCCCAGGAAGCCCCCCCACCCCCAACCCCCGCAAACTCTGGAATCGGGAGACACAACAGGTACTTCCACCTCAGAAGCTAAGGCCCTCGGTGACTCCTGCCAAGAAGGGCAGAGTCCATGCGGTGGTCGCCTGGGCACGTCCTGGGGCTCGTCGCGGGACCCGGGCCAGAGCCAGGCGGCGAGCACGCGGCGCTGCATGCGGGAAACCCGGGCGGCGCCTCCCGCCGCCCCTCAGCCCTGAGCCAGGGCCCCCCAGGATAGACTGCGCTCCCGCGACCCCCCGACTCCCACCGAGGCTCGCCAGGGCCGGCGCGCCAGGGCAGGTGGGCGCGGGGGCTGCACTGCGGAGCCGCAGCCTGGGCCGCCCAGGCAGCCGCGGTCTCCACCCGCTCGGTCCGCAGCGGCGCGCACAGGGTCTCCCGCTTCGGGCCCTCCCCGGCTCGCTCCCGGCTCTGGCAGACCTTCCCGGGTCCCGCTCCGGGTCCCCGCCGAGCGCTCCGCCGGGCAGCGCCTTCCTCCTGGGCTGGGAGCGCGCGGTGCAGCGGCGGCTCCGAGTCCCCTGGCCTCGAGCAGCCCGCGCGACACGCGCGCGACACCCCCGCGGGGTCCGAGTCCACCCTGCGAGCAGCGCCGAGACGCCGCGCCTCAGAGCCCCGGGGCTGACCCTGGCCTTGCAGGGGGGCGACCTCGCCCCTCCAGCTCCCGAGACGGCGGCCGCGGGTGTCCCTCGCCCCCCAACCGGCGCTGCGCCCCGGTGCCCCGTCCCGCAGGGCTGAGCCGCCCGGACCCCGCGACTCCAGCGCCCGCTTCAGCCCCGCAGTCGCCGGGGTAAAGTTTGCGCCCCGGCCTGGCCCCGCAACGCCCCTCCCCGGCCACGCAGCCCGCCGCGCGGGTGCCCCGAGGAGAAGGTGCGGGCCGGGCCGGGGCCGGGGGTCCTCTCCCCGCCGCGTCCTCCTACCCCGCGGCCCCGGCCCGGGAGGAGCCGTCGGTGAGGGCGCATCCTCCGCCGCCGCCGCCCGCTGTCGCCAGGCCGGTGCGGCGTCACCGCCCCATGCTGCCCGCGCGAACTTCCCCGGCGCCCCGCGCTCCCGCCGCCGCCCTGCAGCTCCGCTCCCGCCGCGCCCGGGGCCGCGCGCCGCCCGCCGCAGAACCCCCAGCGCCCGGCGCACCGGCGCCCGCTCTCACCTCGCCCGAGCGCCACATGTCGTCTCCGGCTGGAGACCGGCCCTCTGCGGAGGCTCCGGTAGAGGCCGCCAGACGCTCAGCAAACGAGTCTCGGCTCGGCGGAGGGGGAGGGGAGGGCGCCAGGCGCGCGGCTCGGCCTGCGCGGGAGAGGCCCTGCGCGCCCGAAGTTTCCTCAGGGCGCCAACGGGGTCTGCGGCGCCGCCCGCGGTCACCGCCGCCCCTCGTGGGGCAGAGCCGGGAGGGCGGCGTCAGCCCCGCGTGGCACCGGCCGGGGCTCCCAGAGCTCTGCTCCCTGCCCCGGCCCCGCGCCTCCCTGCCCCGGCCTGGGTCCCCCGGAGCTCCACCGCACCCCTGCGCGCGCGCGCGTCTCCCCGGGCGCTTCTGAGAGAAACTGGCCCGTGCAGACCCTCTCGTCCCACTCGGTCGGGAGCGCAGGAGCCAGGGTCACCGTGGACTCGGTCAGAGCGAAGTCCCTGCCCGACGCGCTGTCCGTCTGGGGCTTTTCTCAAGTCCCATTTCCTGACCACTGGCCGCGGTGGCCGCGGGGAAGGAAGGGCCGGGAGGCCTGGGGCTGCAGGTCGGAGAGCGCGCCCGGGGCGACGGGCCGGGGCCTCCCCAGCGGGGCTTCCGAGCCTCAGCAGCCCCGCGCGTGGGGTCTCACTAAGGTCCTGAGGCCGGCGTCCCGTCCGTCCGGGCGCTGCAGGTCTGGGTGCGGACGGTGGCATTCAGGACAGCCGCGCGGCACCAGGGTCCCTTCAGACAACGCGAGCAAGGTGAGGCCAAAGCGCCGCAGCCCGTCGTGTCGGGCCGCAGGGCCTGGTTTCCTGGAGGTGGGGGGCTCTGGACCGTAACGCCCGCTGGAAAACGTTCCAGACTTAAAGGGAAGCCACCCAGAACGTGATGGGGAGGTTTATTTACACGGCTGTCCCGGGCCTTTTGTGCAACTGCACTGCTCATAGTCCCTCTTCACAGGATGATTGTAAAAGAAGGCAAATTCCGAACTCTCCTCCGCGAAAGATCCTTGGCCTCCCAGGGCGGGAAGCCTCTTCCCAGTTATGTCTCATACAGCGGGTTCCAGATCTAAGTTACCTGCTAGTCCTTCTGCACATTCCCGAAACGCTGGACATTTCTGCAAAAAAAACGGTAACTCCGTTCCAGGAACGGGACACAAATACACATAAATGTGCAAATACACAGGAGGCGTTACTCTGAGTATGCGTTTAGCCACACTATTAAGTGACTGTTTCCAGTGGTTCGTCACAGAATGTGAATGAAACGAGACGCTCATTGGAAAGAATTTTCTAATTCTAAAACAGAGCTGAGCACATGCCTTTCATTTTCCCATCTCTCAGAAGATGTACCACTAAGGTGAAATTCTTTGGCAGGCACTAAATTTTTAAAAGTTAGCAACATGCTTTTATGATCTGTTTACTATCAGTTCCAGCTATTAGGTGCTGCAGTTCTAGACTTAGCAATACCAGGGACAACTGCTCTTCTCTCGGGATTAAACAGCGTAAGGCAAATCAGAGAGTTGGAAGAATTGGGAGATTTAAAACTTCACAGTTGTCACACAAAGTCATTCAGTGTATGTCAACAAGGGATGACTTTTGTGTTAGTGAGGATTATAAACATTAATTCTTAATGACGAAAGACGTCAGCTGGAAGTGAATATGTTCTTTTGATGGATTGCGTTTAAAACTCCCATGTTTTCTCGGTACACTTGCTATCAGTTTTATATGCACACAACACATATTACTGAATATATAAAAATGCTCTTAAGCTAGAGTCATTCTTTAACATTGTATTTAAGCATGTTGCTTAAATTCTTTTCTCCTCCCTGTGATGAAATGGCATGGCACTCTCTCTCCTCCTAGTGTTTATGTAACATAGCCTCACTGCCCTGAAGGGACAGTGACATCGTCAGACCTGTCGGGATCTTACAGAAACTCACATTGCTAGAAGAGTACTGATTACCATTTCAATGATGTTTGTTTGGCGGTGGAATTCCGTATTGGTGCTGAGAAATAGTAGGCCATCCCTTGCATTCCCATTTGTTCCATGAGCATTTTCTCTGTATTGAACGTAATCAAGCAAAGTCGTGATCTTTGTGGAAGACAGTAGAGGGCACCCTAGTTCCACACAACCTCGGCCTTGGACCGGTCTTGATAAGAATTTCATTTCCAGCGTTGAGAGCTCAAAATAGCTGAAGGTGGGGAAGCTGGGCCATGAGCAGAACACGTGCGCAAACAGCACCCACCCTGTACCGCAGTCAGGGGCAGGTACCGAGACCGTGGCTGCGTTTGCGTGGGTGGGTGTGGCCGAGACATGAACGCGGTGCTTACCGTCAAAGTGGAAGCATGTTTTATTTATCTTTCTGTGCTTGGCTTATTTCACCAAGCGTGTTCTCCAGGTTCATCCATGTGATCAAGAATGGCAGGATTTCCTTCTTTGTTAGGACTAAATAATATTCTGCTGTATGTGTATGTATGTGTATATACGTGTGTGTGTGTGTGTGTGTGTGTGTGTGTGTCTGTCTCACACTTTATTTATTCATTTATCCTTTGGCAGACATTTAGCTTGTTCCCGTTATTTGGCTATTGTAAAAAAAATGGCAAAACGAACCTGACAGCTCAGATGCCTCTTCCAGGTATTGATTTTATTCCCTTGGCTATATCCACAGAAAGGGGATTACTGGGCATAGTGGTTGCCAGGGCCTGGGGGAAAGAGAGATGGGGAGACGTTGGTCAAAGGGTACAAAATTTCAGCTACGAGAGATGAATAAATTCTGGAGATCCACTGTATAACACAGTGGCTGTTGCTGACAACACCTTCATGTATACTTGACACTTGCTGAGAGGGGAGATCTGACATGTTCTCATCTCACACACACAAGAGGGCAGCTCTGCGAGGTGATCGGAATGTGAGTGAGTGTAGTGGTGAAGTACACACATAGCAGCCAGCAAGCTGAACACCTTAGAAACCAGATTGTACATCAGTGAATTGATGAATGAACAGATCTACATTTCTGCATTAAAAGAAAAAAAAGATAAGATACCCCCACAGCTTTACCAACCCTGGACACCCATTCCCACCCTCCTGCATACCTCCATTCCACTGACACCTGACAGGGTTCTTAAAGCAGCATGGTCTATTCTTTCTCACACTTTGTCTCCTTTCTGTAACCAGGAAAATAGAGGCAAATGGGGCATTTAAAATATTATTAATTTTTTTCTAATTTCATTGTATCTATTTTATCTTCAAGTAGTGTCTTATTTATCATATTTCTGTTTTACCACATTTCATTTTGTTTTGTGGTGGCTCTAGGGTTTACAGCAGGCATCTTTAACTCATCAAAGCTTTCTTTTTCTGAGACAGGGTCTTGCTCTCTCGCCCACGTTGGAATGCAGTGGCACAATCTCAGCTCACTATAACCTCAAACACCTGTGCTCAAGTGATTCTCTCACCTTACCGTCTCAACTACTTGGAACTATGGGCAAGCACTACCACACTCAGCTACTTTTTAAACTTTTAGTAGAGAACAGTTCTCACTATGTTGCCCAGGCTGGTCCTGGATCCTGGGTTCAAGGAGTACTCCTGCCTCAGCCTCCCACAGTGCTGGGATTACAGGCATGAGCCACCACACCCGGCCTACAGCCTACCTTTAATTAACATAATTCCATTTCATGTACGGTATGAAACTTGCAATAATATATTTCTATTTTCTTCCTGTCCTGTTCACTCTTGTTGTCACACATATGACTTCTGCATTCGGTGACTTATCTTTTACTTTAACAATCAATTTCTTTTTTTTTTGTTTGTTTGTGAATGTAGAATATCAAGATGCCAACTCTTGTTGACATGTCCTTTCTTTTAAAAAAATTTCGATAGATTTTTTTTTTTACTTTTTAAAAAATTTTTTATGATTTTATTTTATTTTCTTTTATTGATAGAGTGGACTGGGAAAATGTGGCACATATATGCCATGGAATATTATGCAGCAGTCAAAAATGATGAGTTCATGTCCTTTGTAGGGACGTGGATGAATCTGGAGGACATCATTCTCAGCAAAAATTTCGATAGATTTAAGAACACAAGTGGTTTTGGTTACGTGGAAGAATTGTATAGTTGTGAAGTCATGGCTTCTAGTGCATCTGTCATCCAAATAGTGTACGTTGTGCACAGAGTAATTTTTCACCTCCCCCCCATCCTTCTCCCTTCTGAGTCTCCAGTATCCATTACTCTGCATGTCCCTGCATACCCACTTCTCAGTGAGAACATGCAGTGTTTGGTTACTTGTTCCTGAGTTACTTACTGAGCTGCTGCAGACAATGTTGTCTTGCCCTTTTTTTTGGATGAGCAGGTGTTCCACGGTGTATATATGCACCATATTTTCTTTATCCACATGAGTTGATGGCCACTGAGGCTGATTCCATATGTTTGCAATTATGAATTGTGCTGTGACTAACGTACACGTGCAGGTCTTTTTGATTTAGTCAGTTCTTTTCCTTTGGGTAGATACACGGTATGGGGTTGCTGGGTTGAATAGTAGATCTACTTTTAGTTCTTGGAGAAACCTCTGTACTTTTTCCCATAATGGTTGTACTAATTCACATTCCCACCAACAGTGTATAAGCATTCCCTTTTCATCACATTCATGCCAAAGTCTGTTGTTTTCTGTCTTTTTAATAATGGCTGTTGTTGCAGGAGTAAAGTGGTATCTTGTTTTTTTTTTTGGAGACCGAGTCTTGCTCAGTTGCCAGCTACCAGGTTGGAGTGCAGTGGTGCAATCTCAGCTCACTTCAACCTCCGCCTCCCGGGTTCATGCAGTTCTCATGCCTCAGCCTCCCGAGTAGCTGGCTGTGTGGCATGAGAATCCCTTGAACCCAGGAGGTGGAGGTTGCAGTGAGCCAAGATCATGGCACTGC